ATGTGATCACTTCCATGATAGGATCTGCTGTGAGTAACCATTCAGTTGAAAGGGAGTTCCCTTGGGGGTGTGGCCTGCATCCAATATAGGTGCACTTTCTGGCAAGACTCGTGGGCTTTTGCTCACTCTGAATCCTGAAACTGGCTCCTGTTCATCTGACGTCCAGTTCTTGGGACTTGAGCTAGCAGCTTACCTGCCAATCTTGGAATTCATCAACCTCCACAGCCTGTGAGCCAGAGGCTTGTTGTCTGACCTGCCAATCTTGGGTTCACCAGCCCCTGCAGCTATGTGAGTCAAGAGAAGCCTCCGGCCTGACTCATGGTCTTAGGACTTTCCAGCCTCTACAAATGTGTGAGCCAATTCCTTGATATAAATCTCTCTCTCTCTCTCTCTCTCTCTCTATATATATATATATATGTATATAGACACTTCACTGGTTTAACTTCTCTAGAGAACCCAGCCTAAGACAACGTCCTTCTCCAGGGACTGGTCCCTCCTGATAACATGTCCAAAGTATGTGAGATGAAGTCTCACCATCGTCGCTTCCAAGGAGCACTGTACTTCTTCCAAGATAGACTTGTTCGTTCTTCTCGCAGTCCATGGTATATTCAATATTCTTCACCAACACCATGATTCAAAGGCATCAATTTTTCTTTGGTCTTCCTTATTCATTGTCCAGCTTTCACATGCATACGAGGTGATTGAAAATATCACTGCTTGGGTCAGACACACCTTAGTCCTCAAAGTGATATCTTTGCTTTATCAATTCTTTAAAGGGGTCCTTTGCAGCAGATTTGCCCAGTGGAATACATTGTTTGATTTCTTGACTGTTACTTTAGTGGGTGTTGATTGTGGATCCAAGTAAAATGAAATCCTTGACAACTTCAATATTTTCTCTATTTATCATGATGTTGCTTATTGGTCCAGTTATGAGAATTTTTGTTTTCTTTATGATGAGTTGTAATCCACACTGAAGGCTGTAGTCTTTGATCTTCATCAGTAAGTGCTTTAAGTCTTCTTCACTTTCAGGAAACAAGGTTGTGTATGTGTGTGTGTGTGTGTGTATCTTAGTATGTCTTAGGATGGGTTTCTCTAGAGAAGCAAAACCAGTGAAATGTGTATGTATCACATTTCACTGGTTTTGCTTCTCTAGAGAAACCCATCCTAAGACATTACTCTAATGGAAGACTATGAATTTTGAGGCATTTTAATTCTGCAGGTATTTTAGGGGCAGTGGAAAAAACCTCCCACACAAATTAAGGGTATTTCCTTTGTAACATGCATGGAAGCTTTAAAGAATGCTTGGGGGAGAGACATACACATGAATAATTTTGGTCCATTTTTTGTTACCTCCTTAACTTACAGCTACATTTCTTCAAGAACATTCCCAGCAAAACTGAAGGGCACTACCTAGAATTTGGCAGCATTAGTTCACTCACCCAGGTTCCTCCAACAAGTCTGAAAATGCAGTGCTAAAGCAGAGCTTTCCAAACTTCCCTGCACATTAAAATCCGGAGAGCTTTTGAAAAGCCCAATTCTCAGGTTACACCCCTTTACCAGTTAAATCCAAAGGTCTGGGAGTGGAAGCCAGATATCAGTACCTTTTAAAGATCCCATGAAGAGTCCAATGTGCAGCAACGTTTGGAAACCACACTCTTAACATCTTTACAGCATCTGCACTGGATAAACTTGGCATGCCCCATTTACACAGCTCTTATTTTGTAAATTTCTTAATTCTTTACAGTCGTATGTTTCAGCTAAAATTAGCTGAGCACCTATTGAATGTTAATGATTTGCTAGCAGCTTTCATATCCATTTAACTTATTAATCCCTGAGTGTTGCTATAAGTTAGTGTTATCCTTATTCTTCAGTTGACTGAGTAAGGCTGAGAGTGCTTTCCTTACTTGAGTAAAATCTCACGGTTGGTTATGGGGCTCCCAGTGCCGTGGGCCTCTCCTGCACTTTGTTGTCGTTAGGTGCTGTTGAGTCGGTTCTGACTGATAGCAACCCTGTGTACAGCAGGACAAAACACTGCCCGGTCCTGCACCATCCTCACAGTCGTTGCTATGCTTGAGCCCCTTGTTGCAGCCACTGTGTCAATCCATCTCATTGAGGGTCTTCCTCTTTTTCACTGACCCTCTACTTTACCAAGCATGATGTCCTCCAGGGACAGATCCTTCCTGATAACATGTCCAAAATATGTGGGACAAAGTTTCGCCATCCTCGCTTCTAGTGAGCATTCTGGCTGTGCCTCTTCGAAGACAGATTTGTTTGTTTTTTTGGCAGTCCATGGTATATTCAACATTCTTCACCAACACCACAATTCAAAGGCATCAATTCTTCTTTGGTCTTCCTTATTCATCCTCCAGCTTTCATATGCATATGAGGTGATTGAAAACACCATGGCTTGGGTCAGGCGCACCTTAGTCTTCAGGGTGACATCTTTGCTTTTTAACACTTTAAAGAGATCTCTTGTAGTAAACTTGCCCAATGCAATGCATCATTTGATTTCTTGACTGCTGCTTCCATGGGCATTGATTGTGGATCCAAGTAAAATGAAATCCTTGACAACGTCAGTCTTTTCTCTGTTTATCATGCACTTTAGCTGACGTATTTTCCAAATCTTATAAAAATCCATTAATTTCTACCATTTATTCTGGTGTTGCCCTGGGGTTAATTTCTCTTCATTATATTAGTGTCAGGATATCCCTAATTTTACTGCCTCCAAGGCAGTAAGACATCACCTACAGAGTCATAGGTGATAAAGTTGGGAGACACTTAAGAGGTCTATTTGTGCAATTCCTTGTCTGGTAAAATTTTTTTTTTCCTCTAACATTCTTATATCAACACATAATCAATGCATGTTAGGATACCAAGAAATTATAATATTAAAAAAAAAAAAAGTTGTTGTTGAGTCCATTCTGATGCCTTGTGACCCCATGAGTCTCAGAGTAGAACTGCATTCCATAGATTTTTTTATGATTGTGTGACTTTTTGGAAGCAGATTGTCAGGGCTTTCTTCCAAAGTACTTCTGGGTGAGTTTGAAATGCTCACCTTTCGGTTAATAGCCAAATGCTTAATCTTTTGTGCCACCCAAGTACTCCTATATTAATATTAACATATTAATTTCTGTAGACCATTTCGCATGGAGTATCTCAGTTTACTCTCACCCATGTCCTTCAGGTTGATGGTTTCACCCTTTTCAACAGATGAGAGATTGAGTCAATGGCCGGGATCTGAAAGCCAGTGAGCAGAGTCCTGAGGTCTGACCCTTTGTCCTGACTCTTGAAAACATACCCATTTCACTACCCCTTCTTTCTTCTGTAAGGAGCCCTGGTAATGCAGTGATTAAAGCGCTTGACTGTCAATGGTTTGAACCCACCAGCCGCTCCATGGGAGAAAGATGTAGCAGTCTGCTTCTGTAAAGATTACAGCCTTGGAAACCCTATGTGGCAGTTCCACTCTGTCCTACAGGGTCACTATGGATCAGAATTGACTTGATGGCCTTGGGTTTGGTTTGAGTTGGTCTACCATCTGTATGCCTTATCACGTGACAGTTTATGAATGAGCCACCTCCTTAAACTCCATATTTAGAAGATTAGTCCTAAGATAAATGGTTCCTGGAAAAGTTTTGTTTGGCTTAGTGTGTGCGTGGGGTGAGGGGGAAGGATGTAGATATATATATAACCAAGAGATCCACTGTTGGAGCATCCTTCACCTTTGCCAGAGGTTCGATTGTTGCTGCGTTGTTGCATTTTGTCTGTGCATGAATTTAGAATAAAGAACCACTCCAAAGGGTGACATGCTCTCGAAGAAAGGCACTCAGCATGGGAAGCAGAAACCACTGATGGCTGGCATTCTCCTTACTATCAGTACGTTGATGATGGTGCTGTTTCTCTTCCCACCTCTGAAATAAGCACAAAAAGCTATCGCTGTGGCACTGAATCAATACTAAAAGCTGAATTCCATAAAAAACTGGTATGATATTTAACTGAGGCTCAAAATTTGCATATAGTGTGCTCTTGCTCCTTGAAATGCAGTGTAAATCTCATATCTTCCTTAACTCTCTAAGTATTTTATAAACTCCTTGAGGGTAAGGCAGCGTGTCTTAAGCTGCACACAGGATGGAATCTCACATAGCGCCTGTCCCTATAATTCAGACTTACTACCTCTCAGGATTATCATACCCACTAAACGAAATAATCCGTGTAAAGCAGATTGTATGCTGTAAAAATGGCACCAATATTAGTTATTCTTACTGTACATTTCTCTGAACTCTCTATATAAATATTTCTTTTGAATATTCATTGGCTTTTCTTAGGGAGGTTTTTTTCTATTCACACTAAAGAAGCTTCCCTGTGCTTTCTTACATTTTTCTTTCCCTCCCTTAACTCACTCACGGGTATGGGAAAAAGAAAGAGAAAGCAGAAGAAGAAGTGAAATTAAACTAAACAAGCCAATATAGAATTAATATACTTGTTTAAACTTGTTTTCAAAGTGTGCAATTTTAGGAAATTGTCTGAAATCAGTAATGTAGTATGTTGCTGGTGACATGAAAGACATTTTATAAAAAATAACTCAGTTGCAAATGTAAGAGCATGTGTCCACTAGTATTGAAATCAGCATTCTGTGATGTTAGGTGTGGAGTACAGGTCTGCTGTTTGGTAAAGAACTAATCTCTTTCTTCATCATGAAACCCACCTCAGCAGTGAATCTTGTATATAAAGTACATGCAAATTTAGAATAATAGAAAAATATGGACTTGAAAAAATTTTTTGCGATCCTAGAGTAGAGCTGTAATCTACGTACCTCTGCATCAGCGTGCCCTATGCCTGCTTTCTTTCCTGTTTGGACAGCCCACATTACAGAACCTATATAGGCAAAAAACCCGGAGTAATCCTCCTTTATGGTTTTCATATCTGGGTGCTAGTTACCATGGCTATTTCACAAGTCATCATTTTAATCTCTCCTCTCCTCCCTCTTTAACTCTTTGCTTTAGCTCTGGCAATATCCCAGGATATAGTGGCAAGGTTCATTTCACAGCTACCCACCCAGCAAATTCTAATATTCCACCAACAACCCCATCACCAGATTCAGAAGTGCATCGGTAAGTATGAATCCTATTACTCAATCTTCTCAGACACATTAGGGTGAAATTCTAATTATGTTATTCCATTAAAGAACAATTAAATACTAAGAGTAAATTTAAATTATTTTAAAAAATGAGGTGTCTAGTCCGAAAAGAGAAAGGAGTTTATTCTCCTACAGAGGGGATCTTTATTAGGCCTTTATTAGTGTCACTCTAAATTGCATTGAAAAGCATATGCAGATTAATGTTAATATTGATGTTGCAAAATGGAGCATATTAGGATATTTAAGGTATTGTAGGTGGAGAGCATCTTTGCCTCTTGGACTCACAGCTTTGGATGTTATCCTTCTGCATTATCATAAGAAGATGCGTGTTACTTGGATGCATGAGAAATATTTACATGAGACACATATTTACTTCTTGTGAATAATCACCTTACCTTTGCTGAAAGGCAAAATTCTGTTGAAAGTCATATATATTTTTAGATAGATTTTTGCAAATTGAAAATAGAGGTTAGATGGAAGCCTGCTGAGGATTCCTGTATTTGAAGCTGCGAGTGAGAAAATGCACGCTATTACTCATTATCACTCAAATTTGAAAACACTTGGTCAAAGACCTAGTCTTGCAGATAAGATGACAGAGTTTTGAAAATACAGATGGAGCCTTAACCAGGTCTAGATGCTGGCCTGGTGCAAACAAACAAACTATCCTGGTAGGACAGGCGGGGTAGGGGGTGGGGAAGGCTGGGGCGAAGGGAGCAGTTCTCACTCCCAAAGGGCACTTTTTTCTCCTAGATTATCATTTTGATAGAACATTCATTCGTTCATTCATTCATTCATCAAGCATTTATTGAGCATCCCTTCTGGGTCACTTACTGTTGGAGGCACAGAGGATACAGTGATGAACAAGGCGGAAAAGATCCCACACTCCTGAGCTTAACGTTTCAGCCTGGGAGATAGATAATAAAGAAGTAGACAAATAACTAAAGAAATGAAATGATTTTGGATAGTGAGATGTGCTCTGAAGAAGAAAAGACAAGGTGATGTGGGAGAGGTGATAAACTAGAAAGTGCCTGGCAAGGGGCATGCTATGGAGGTGCCCGAGCCCAAGCTCCTGCTTCCACCAACTTCTTAAAAATTTCTTAAAAACAATGCAAAGAACATCTCCTGGGAACAGAGACAGCTCCTGTAAACAGGGAGAGCTCCTGTGTAAGGGCTTCTTGCATTCATCCAGCTGCTCATTCTCTCATTCACTCATGCATTTGTCAGTTTGTATGTTCTTTCATTAAATCAACAAAATTTTGTATTCCAGTAATTACTGTATTCCAGTAATTCACAAGAACTGGACCCTGTTTTCAAGTCTAGCAGTCAGAAAGAGGTAATCCACACCTATAGTACAGGGTGACAGGTATCATCATCATCATCATTACTTACATTGACTGAGTGCTTCTTATCCCCAGGTACTCCACTAAGTACTTTACATGTAATAGTTTATTTAACTGTCCCAGTACCCTGGGAGGAAAGTACTGTTATTGTCCCCATTTTACAGATAAGGAAACCTAGGCACACACAAGTTGCAGTGGGAACCTGATCTGCAGGGGGGCACAAAACGAGACCACAGAGGAAGTGATTTATGAGGTGACTCGGCATGGGAGTTTGTTTTATAGGTATTTGAGGGCCCCCTGCATGTAGGCATGGATTATCATGCCCCGGGGAGCCCTCAGCAAGTAGAGCTCACCATGCAATATGAAGTTATAGGATGGAGGCTCCTCAGGGCCACTGCTAGCCTCTTCTATGCCACTGTGCATAGGGGATCCTAATTGTCTTCCACATTCCCTGCACGCATGACCCAGTTCTATGGGCAGTACGGGACTAATTCAGGAAAGGAAAGGTGCCTGCAGACAGAGAGCTTCATGGTTTTATCTAAATTTTTGGTTTGATGATTGTCTAGAGTCCCTAGGCCATCTGCTGAGAACAATTTTTAACAGAGATCTTTGGTTTTCTTGGCTAATATTTTGCACTCAATCAGTTTTCTCTAAAGATAAATGCCACAAATCCATATCCAAGGCAGGACCAGCAGAAATTTAGGCAGTTAACATATTTTGTTTCATAGAAGGACATAAAGAAACAATGTCAAAATTAAATGCACCCTTGTATCTGTATTTAGATTTGTTATCCCAAAAGAGGTAAGATAAAATTCTGTATCTAAATGGTTAACCATATAGGAGGGATCCAACTCAAAGATGCTATGTCAGGGAAAACAGCAGGAATCTCTCATTCCTACCTTTCTGTTTCACAAGCCGTCTTCTCACCCTAAGCAACGAAGATCCCACCCCCAACATCCTGTTGGTTTAACACTTGTTTCCACAACCACATAATCCAGCTATCTATCCAATGTGTGGTGAAACGTTCCTACTATCTTTCAGAGAAATCTTTATTTCTAATTGTAAAATTGTCACCTACTGCTACCACTAGAGAAAAGAGCTTGTGTCTTACAGCAGGAAACTCATTTCCAGACTTAGGCCTATTGCAGAGTCCTGGGTGGCCTTCACATTCATTTCACACCTCTTGTACATGCATCTGTCACCCAGCTTCCCAGAGTGGGGACAGAGATAATCAACCTCTGAGGCGGCTTCTCTGAGATTCTTCTTCACAGAGTGTACATAAGGCCCCAGAGACATGCAGCCAAGGTCACCGATACTGAAGGAGAGCTGGTGTTTGCTAGGGGTCCAGATCTCCTCTAACCACAGCTCTAGACTCCAGAGCCTAGATGGTCCAGAGTGAGAAAGCACAGAGACTGGTGCCCTCTCAGCAGGAAGCCCTGGGCTTCGCACTGAGACTGGCCCTCCTGATCCCATGTTCAGAGGAAACTTGCTCCTTTCAGGCCCTCCAGGCTCTTCATCATCAGGTATTGCCTCTGATTTTTTGGGACACTATGTGTAATGTTATTTTTGCTTAAAATTTTCAGTGAAAGTGTGAGCCTAGGTCTCTCTGATGAGTATCATGAGAACTCCATGAGCTAACTTCCTCCTGATGGTATCTATCTGCTGTGATGCACTTTTTCCTGTTATTTCATTTGTAAGAAGCTGTCTGTGCTCAGGCATCCCCTGGGGACTCCTGAATGTCAACCTCAACTGTACCTCACTGCCCCTCTGCAATTCACTCGGCTGTTTTTAAGAGCCTACACCATTCCCCGAAGTGGCTATATTTCAGAACTTTCTATACTATGTAAACTTCCAATCCCATCTCCTCCCCAGGACACTCTCAACAGAAGGTCTTACCTTCTGCTTTCTGGCTCATCCACTATGGTCCATGGAGACCTTCTTGTTCCCCTGTTGCCACTCCCTCTCCTCCTCACATTAGACTCTCTACTCCCATCACTATCCTTTGTCTTTTTCTCCCAGAAAGACATGTCTTACTTTTTAAAGGTCAATCATTCCATCTTCATCCTACTCACTCCTACTGTCTCCCTGCTTACCATGAGGCCTTCGTGTCTCCCCAGTTGGCCCATTGGTTATGAAGAAACGCATTGAGTCTCCCTACTGCACAAAGCAAATGTGTTACCCTCTGACCACCCACTTCTCTCCTGATCTTCCTTTCACTTCTGAACTTCTCTAAAAAGCAACCAGCCGCTCTCCTTTCACTCGCTGCCTCTGCTTCCTCCCTGCCCGCTCTCTCCTTCATCTCTTACAATCTGAATTCCAACACCACCAGTCAGAGAACGTGCTCCTCTTGCCAGACCACAGACATACCAAGAGACAGGAGAGCAGGGGCTACGGCTGTCTCCATGGCATGGATGCCACATGTGGAGCTCTTTGGTCAATCAGGCTGCAAAGTCAGCTCAGGTTAAATTGTTCAGGCCTCAAATGCCAACCAAGGAGCATTTTGAGCAGGAAGGACAGAGTCGAGCTGTGTTCTAGGATTAATATCGGGTGAGGCACAGAAAAGTATAAGGGAAAGAAATTATGGGAAGAGATTTGAAATGAAGAGATAAGGAAGCACAGGAGGTGAATAAGGAGGGGTTTTGTGGCTCTCCAAATTCGTAAAGAAGGAAATGTGTGTACAAATGCATTTGTTTCAACTCATATTTCCATTACAGCCCAGTGTTTCTTGCACATACCCTCACACCAGAATGTAACCTTACAGAAGTTTTAGCTTTCACTTTAATGGCCCTTTGCCCCAACGTAAGAAAAAAGAAAACAAAAACAAAGCTGCCACATGCAAGCATCACATTGTGTACATGATTCCAATTTTTGGCAAAATTACTGCAGGTGGTAGGCTTGTAGGGTAGCTCGCAATAGCTGATGGGTGGTGTGTCAGAGTTGAGACTGCCAATACTGGGTGTGAGAGGAGGTTTGGCAATATTGGCAGCCAAGGTAAGAAAATATAATTTGCATAGTCTTAGACATTGTCACAGTTATTTTCTTTCTTTTAATTCTCACAACAAATTTGGTAGAACGAATTTATTCCCGCTTGGTAGATGAGCAAACTAAGAGTGAAGTTAAGAAAATTATGTGAGAGCAGACAGCTTACAGCCTATTAAAACAAGTTGCCATTGAGTCAACTCCAACTCATGGAGATCCCTCCAATGTGCAGAGTAGAACTGTCCACCACAGAGTCTTCAATGGATGATTTTTTGGAATTAGATTGCCAGGTATTTATTCTGAGGTACCTCTGGGTAGACTCAAATTTTCAACTTTTCAGTTAGCAGTACAGTGTGTTAACTGTTTGCACCACCTCCTACCACCAGGTATTTCTACAACTCACTTAAAAAAAAAAACTCGTTGTCCCATCAGTTCTGACTCATAGCGACCCTATAGGACAGAGTAGAACTGCCTCATAGGGTTTCCTAGGAGCGACTGTTGTTGTTGTTAGGTGCCATCAAGTCAGTTCTGAGTCAGCAACCCTATGCACCACAGAACGAAACACTGCCCAGTCCTGTGCCATGCGCACAGTCATTATGCTTGAGCCCATTGTTGCAGCCCCTGTGTCAATCCATCTCGTTGAGTCTTCCTCTTTTTTGCCAACCCTGTACTTAACCCAGCATGATGTCCTTCTCCAGGGACTGATCCCTCCTGACAACAACATGTCCAAAGTATGTGAGACGTAGTCTTGCTATCCTTCCTTCTAAGGAACATTCTGGTTGTACTTCTTCCAAGACAGAGATTTGTTCGTTCTTTTGGCAGTCCATGGTATATTCAGTATTCTTCACCAGCACCACAATTCAAAGGCATCAATTCTTCTTAGGTCTTCCTTATTCATTGTCCAGCTTTCGCGTGCATATGATGCGTTTGAAAATACCATGGCTTGGGTCAGGCACGCCTTAGTCTTCAAGGTGACATCTTTGCTTTTCAACACTTTAAAAGAGGTCTTTTGCAGAAGATTTGCCCAGTGCAATGCATCTTTTGATTTCCTGACTGCTGCTTCCATGGGTGTTGATTGTGGATCCAAGTAAATGAAATCCTTGACAACTTTGATATTTTCTCTGTTTATCATGATGTTGCTTGTTGTTCCAGTTGTGAGGATTTCTGTTTTCTTTATGTGGAGGTGTAATCCATACAGAAGGCTGTGGTCTTTGATCTTCACCAGTAAGTGCTTCAAGTCCTCTTCACTTTCAACAAGCAAGGTTGTGTCATCTGCATACCATAGGTTGTTAATGAGTCTTCCTTCAATCCTGATGCCCCTTTCTTCTTCATAGAGTCCAGCTTCTCAGACTATTTGCTCAACATACAGATTGAATAGGTATGGTGAAAGGATGCAACCCTGACGCGCAGCTTTCCTGACTTTAAACCACAGAGTATCCCCTTGTTCTGTCCGAACAACTACCTCTTGATCTGTGTACAGGTTCCTCATGAGCACAATTAAGTGTTCTGGAATTCCCGTTCTTCGCAACGTTGTCCATAATTTGTTATGATCCAGGCAGTCAAATGCCTATGCGTAGTCAATAAAACACATGTAAACATCTTTCTGGTATTCTCTGCTTTCAGCCAGGATCCAGCTGACGTCAGCAATGATATCCCTGGTTCAACGTCCTCTTCTCAATCCAGCCGAATTTCTGGCAGTTCCCTATTGACATGTTGCTGCAGCTGTTTTGAATGATCTTTAGCAAAATTTTACTTTGCGTGTGATATTAATGATATTGTTCAATAATTTCCACATTCGGTTGGATCGCCTTTCTTGGGAATAAGCATAAATGTGGATCCCTTCCAGTTAGTTGGCCAGGTAGCTGTCTTCCAAATTTCTTGGCATAGATGAGTGAGCACTTCCACAGCTGCATCCATTTGTTGAAACATCTCAGTTGATATTCCATCAATTCCTGGAGCCTTGTTTTTCACCAATGCCTTCAGTGCAGCTTGGACTTCTTCCTTCAGTACGGTCGGTTCCTGGTCATATGCTACCTCTTGAAATGGTTGAACGTCGACCAATTCTTTTTGGTATAGTGACTGTGTATTCCCTCCATCTTCTTTTGATGCTTCCTGTATCATTTAATATTTTCGCCATAGAATCCTTCACTGTTGCAACTTAAGGCTTGTGTTTTTTCTTCAGTTCTTTCAGCTTGAGGAATGCCAAGTGTGTTCTTTCCTTTTGTTTTCTATCTCCAGCTCTTTGCATATGTCATTATAATACTTTACTTTGTCTTCTCGAGCCGCCCTTTGAAATCTTCTGTTCAGTTCTTTTACTTCATCATTTCTTCCTTTTGCTTTAGCTACTCGATGTTCAAGAGCAAGTTTCAGAGTCTCTTTCGACATCCATTTTGGTCTTTTCTTTCTTTCCTGTCTTTTTAATGACCTCTTGCTTTCTTCATGTATGATGTCCTTGATGTCATTCCACAACTCGTCTGGTCTTTGGTCATTAGGGTTCAACACGTCAACTCTATTCTTGAGATGGTCTCTGAATTCAGGTGGGATATACTCGAGGTTGTACTTTGGCTCTCGTGGAGTTGTTCTAATTTTCTTCAGTTTCAACTTGAACTTGCATATGAGCAATTGATGCTCTATTCCACGGTCAGCCCCTGGGCTTGTTCTGACTGATGATATTGAGCTTTTCCATCGTCTCTTTCCACAGATGTAGTCGATTTGATTCCTATATATTCCATCTGGTGAGGTCCATGTGTATAGTCACCGTTTATGTTTGTGAAAAAAGGTATTTGCGATGAAGAAGTCATTGGTCTTACAAAATTCTGTCATGTGATCTCTGGCATCATTTCTATCACCAAGGCCATATTTTCCAACTACCAATCCTTCTTCTTTGTTTCCAACTTCTGCTTTCCAATCACCAGTAATTATCAATGCATCCTGATTGCATGTTCAATCAATTTCAGATTGAAGAAGTTGGTAAAAATCTTCAATTTCTTCATCTTTGGCCTTACTGTTGGTGCATGAATTTGAATAATAGTCGTATTAACTGGTCTTCCTTGTAGGCCTATGGATATTATCCTATCACTGACAGCGTTGTACTTCAGGATAGATCTTGAAATGTTCTTTTTGATGATGAATGCAACGCCATTCCTCTTCAGGTTGTCATTCCCAGCATACTAGACCATATGGTTGTCCGACTCAAAATGGCCAATACCAGTCCATTTCAGCTCACCAATGCCTAGGATATCAATGTTTATGTGTTCCATTTCATTTTTGACGATTTCCAGTTTTCTTAGATTCATACTTCATACATTCCATGTCCCTATTATTAATGGATATTTGCAGCTGTTTCTTCTCATTTTGAGTCATGCCGCATCACAAATGAAGGTCCCGAAAGCTTGACTCCATCCATGTCATTAAGGTCGACTCTACTTTGAGGAGGCAGCTCTTCGGCAGTTGTCCTTTTTGAGTGCCTTCCAGCCTGTGGGGGGCTCATCTTCCGGCACTATATCGGACAGTGTTCTGCTGCTATTCATAAGGTTTTCACTTGCTAATTCTTTTCAGAAGTAGACGGCTGGGTCTTTTATCCTAGTTTGTCTTCGTTTGGAAGCTCAGCTGAAACCTATCTGCCGTGGATGACCCTGCTGGTATCTGAGTACCAGTGGCATAGCTTCCAGCATCACAGCAACACACAAGCCCCCACAGTGCGACAAATTGACAGACACGTGGGGGAGGAGGGGCTGGTGGATTCTAACTGCCAATCTTTTGGTTAGCAGTTGTAGCTCTTAAACACTCCACCACCAGAACTCCTACAACCCACTAGGAGACCCCTATTGCCTTTAGGATGAACTCACTTCTCCTCAGCCACCATACAGCTTATCCTCTTGGGGCTCCGTCTACCCACCCTTACTGTTCACCCATTTAGCCTCTTCCCGAATATGCCATGCCCTCTCTCACCTCCATTTCTTCCCCCACACCACACCGCTGCCTACACCACTTCTCTTTTTCCATTACCTAATTCCCACTTGAGACAGACTCAAGGCCGGTGCCCTTCCCTAGCCCAGAGAAGCGATTGTGTCCTCCATGCCCCCGCAGCACCCTGGGCCCACCCCATTCAGAGACTTTACTAGTGATAACTGTTGAATTATATGACTGCCTCTGTATAGACTTACTTCCTTTGGGCTACATTTTCTGTATTCTTAGCACCTTATATAATTCTAGGCACATAGTAGATTTTCAGTAAATGTAACTGAATGCAGTACAACCAGGTTATACACAAGGATTAATGATAAGAGCTCGGCTGCTAACAAAAGGTTGGCAGTTTGAATCTACCATCAGCTCCCTTGGAAACCCTGTGGGGCAGTTCTACTGTGCCCTATAGGGTCCCTATGAGTTGGAATCAACTTAATGGCAATGGGTTTGGTTTTTTCAGTCTCTCTTTCTGCTGTGTTCTCTCTCTCTCTCATACATGTTTATAATTAGTTGAAAAATAGATGAGGTTATGTGTTTTTATGCTTATTTTAAGCATTCTTTTTTGTTTTCCTCCACTCCATTACAGCATCTTACGGAAAGACATGGAAGTGGGTTTCTTCCATCACCAGGCACCTCTGTCTCGAATGGTCACAACTGTGAAACCCTACAACCCCTTCAATAGGAAGGAAAAAGAAACTGTAGACTACTGAAAGAGGCCGGCCTATTGAGTGAGACTGCTAAGACTTCAGAGTTGGTGACATTGCACACAGCATGGTAGGAAATAAAAGTGCCTGTCCTGTCCCCAGTGTGTCTGTAATGCTAATAGAGCTTGCGTGTGCTCTTCCTGCCTAAGGCAGAGTTCTCGAACCACCCTCGGCCAGTCTCCTAACCTGTCCGGTGGCTCTCTGCCTTGCCCTGGAATGCCACCATTTTGTGATGGCAGTTGAGTCTTTCCGAAGCAACCAGCCATAGAGGTTTTATTTTAGATGATTTCTCTGTGGGGTTACAACACCAAGTCTACATAGGGATTTCGTGTCCTGACCAAGTTAACACAGGAAGGATAACTGCTGAGCACAGATCATGCAAAGGTGGAACCAAAGGGCACCACAGAGATTATCTAGTCAAAACCCATATTTTCCCAATGAGAAAACTGAGTGGCTGAGAAAGAAAGTGACAGGCTCTCAGTGAGAGCTGCATTCTGCTTCTCACAGAGGGGACATCATCACACGGGGGATGACATTGCATGGGGGATGACATTGAGGTTGCAGATGGGACAAAATGCTCCTTTGTCGCAATTGGTATTTCTTTCAGAGACAGAAGTATCCCCCAGGTTCCATAACGGTGATCAGGCAGGAACTACCACCTCTGGCCAAATTAGAGGGTGTCATTACTCAGCCATGAACCAACAGAACACCAGCTCACGGAGTCACTCAGTGTGGATGTGGGCTAGGGGAGATCCTGCTGCCATAAAGAACTAGAGCTCCAAGCAAATGATTACAATATTTTGAGAGTAATTTGGCCCTGCTCATCTCACAGAAGTCTCTGGGTAATGTAAACAGTTAACACACTTACCTGCTAACCAAAAGTTTGGAGGTTCAAGTCCACCTAGAGTCACCTCAGAAGGAAGTTCTGGTGACCTACTTCTGAAAAATCAGCTATAGAAAATCCTATGGAGTGCAGTTCTACTCTGACACACATGGGGTTGGAATTAGTTGGAGCCAACTCAAAGCAACTAACTGGTGGTATTATTTCATAGGAAGGGAAAAGCAGCTGTTTTGGTATGAAATCCTGTATTACCTCAGTTGACAATGACCTAGACTTTGAAACTGAATCTTGAGAATGTCTCTGTGTGCTGCTCCCTGGGCCTACTCTGGGCCATGACAAACAGGAAGACAAGCAGCCGTCCTCCTGAGTACCTGCCTGGCCCTAGAGATAAGTCTGATCTTGTCTACTTGTATTCAGAAAGAGCAAGTCTATAAAAATCCAACCAAAATAAAAATCTTTGTCTCTGGAAGACTTTCACCAAAACACAAATGGAAAATGCTGACCCCATCCTAGAAGTAGATTCATTTAGTTCCCTGAGATCACATCCTTTGGTGAACATCCTAGGCAGGCCACCTTGTCAAGAGGTACTACTGTTCAAACTCTGGGACCTCCCTTCCTCATCTGGGTCCTTCTATGGCAGTAACACCTGCTCTGGACATTCTTTACAGTCTAAGATGATGTTTCCAAGCTCTGCAATGCAGACATCTGGGCTCCCATCAGAACATGAGCACATCCAACACTGCTCTTGAAGGAAATGTTGACTGTCCCTGTAGTCCCCCTTGGCTGTATCCAGGAGAAGAGAGATGGTGACTCTCTATTTGCACTATGACTAGGTCAGATTGCTCACCTTTGAAGATAAAGTGCAAACCCTGCTCACCACATATCTAGACTCCAAGGTCAGCCACACCAATGGAGAAGATAGAAATTCCAGTGCTCTGACTCTTACCCATGAGTGTAAATTGCATTATTTGTGTTTCCATTGGCCAAAGCCCAACGGGAAGCTACAACAATCAAGGAAGATAGTCTCAGGGATATATAACTCCTCTTCAAGTTCCGAATTCTTGATGGCACCAATACCAACATTCCTTCTCAGGTTAGCCACTTGCCTCTCACTCTCCACCCCAAAGCAAAGCATTCCCTACAATATTATAATCTCAGTTTTTATTTATCCCCAGGAATTATTCCAGTACTTAAGCTACAGAAGATCTTTGCATTTTTATAAAACTGATGTGAGAAATGACATTAGAAATTGTTGTAAAGTTCACTTAGAAGAGAAAATATGAGTTAATTACCTTCTCCTAGCAGATAAGGACATTACAACGTAATATTTTCAAACTATTACAGAGGTACAACAATATAAAAAGTATGATATTCATAATAGAGCAGAATAGCAAGTCCAGAAATGAAAACATAAAGAAATTATTCTAAACCAATGAATACAGGATAGATATTCGCAACAGATGATAGTGAGACAACCATTTGGAAACAACGAAGAAAGGTAGATCCAGATCTTACCCTTTAAACAAAAGTAAATTGTTCTTTGATCACTGATTTAAATGGATAATTTAAAGCCTTTAGACAGATCACCTGGGAATTTAGGGGATTCCTTTATAAGGCTGAGTGTGAGGAAAATCTTTTCAAACAGGACACTAAAGCCAAAAATGGAGGAAAAAAAACTTTTAATGTAAAAAATACACCTACAAAAGTTAGAAAAACTGAACGGGAAAATATGTCAGATAAAGGATTCCTACTATTATTATAAAAAGAATCCACATTCAAAACATGATTACCCAAATAGGGACAAAGCAAAGGATATTAACAAATAAATTGAAAAAATAGAAAACATAAATGGCGAATAAGCAAATAAAAATGTTTACACCCCACTAGTATTCAAGAAATGACTATACTGTTTCACTTTTCACACATGAATCTGTGTCTGTGAGAGGAGATACATATCTTTTTTAAATTGTATTTTAGATGAAGGTTTACAGAACAAACTAGTTTCTCATTAAACAGTACACATATTGTTTTATGACGTTGGTTAACAACCCCACAACATGTCAACACTCTCCCTTCTTGAGTTCCCTGTTACAGCTTTCCTGTCCCCTCCTGCCTTCTAGACCTTGTCCCTGGGCTGTTGTGCCCCTTTAGTTTTGTTTTATGGGTCTGTCTAATCTTTAGCTGAAGGGAGAACCTCGGGAGTGACTTCATTACTGAGCAAAAGGGTGTCTGGGGACCATACTCTCAGTTTCTCCAGTCTCTGTCAGGCCAGTAAGTCTGGTCTTTTTTGTGTGAGTTAGAATCTTGTTCTATATTTTTCTCCAGCTCTGTCTGGGACCATCTGTTGTGATCCCTGTCAGAGCAGCAGTGGTGGTAGCCGGGCACCATCTAGTTGTACTGGACTCAGTCTGGTAGAGGCCGTGGTAGTTGTGGTCCATTAGTCCTTTGGACTAATCTTTCCCTTGAATCTTTAGTTTTCTTCATTTTCCCTTGCTCCCGAAGGGGTGAGACCAGTGGAGTATCTTAGATGGCCACTCACAGGCTTTTAAGACCCCAGATGCTACTCACTAAAGCAGAATGTAGACTATTTTCTTTATAAAACGTTATGCAAATTGAGCTAGATGTTCCCCGAGACCATGGTCCCCACAGCCCTCAGCCCAGCAATTTGGTCCCTCCGGGAGTTTGGATGTGTCTATGGAGCTTCCGTGACCTTGCCTTGGACAAGTGGTGCTGGCTTCCCCAGTATTGTGTACTGTCTTACCCTTCACCAAAGCTGCAATTTATCTATTGTCTATTTAGTGTTTTTCCATCCCACCCCTCCCCTCCTTTGTAACCCTCAAAGATTGTTTCTTTTTGTGTGTAAACCTTTTCATGAGTTTTTATAGTAGTGGTCTCATACAATATTTGTCCTTTTGTGATTGACTAAATTCACTCACAATAATGCCTTCCAGATTTCATCCATGTTATGAGATGCTTCGCAGATTTATCATTGTTCTTTGTCATTGCATAATACTCCATTGTGTGTATGTACCATAGTTTGTTTATCCATTAATCTGTTGATGGGCATCTAGGTTGTTTCCATCTTTTTGCTAGTGTGAAAAATGCTGCAGTGAACATGGGTGTGCATATGTCTATTCTCGTGTGGCTCTTATTTCTCTAGGATGTATTCCCAGAAGTGGGATTGCTGGATCATATGGTATTTCTATTTCTAGCTTTCTAAGGAAGCACCATATCATTTTCCAAAATGGTTGTACCATTTTGCATTCCCACCAGCTGTGCATAAGACTCCCGATCTCCCCGCAGCCTATCCAATATTTGTTATTTCCAGTTTTTTTTATTTGTGCCAGTAATGCCCGGATGAGATGGTATCTCATTTTGGTTTTGATTTGCATTTCTCTAACGGCTAGTGATCGCGAGCATTTCCTCATATGTCGGTTGGCCGCTTAAATATGAAGATATTTAAGTGTCTGTTCATTTCCTTTGCCCATTTTTTAATTGGACTATTTGTCTTTTTATTGTAGAGGTGTTGGATTTTCTTGTAGATTTTAGAGATTAGAACTTTATCTGATTTGTAATAACCAAAAATTTTTTTTCCCCAGTCTGTAGGTTCTCTCTTTACTCTTTTGGTGAAGTCTTTTGATGAGCATAAGTGTTTAATTTTTAGAAGATCCCAGTTACCTAGCTTATCTTCTGGAGTTTGTGTGTTGTTGGTTATGATTTATATCTTGTTAATGCCGTGTATTAGGGCCTCTGGTGTTGATCCTGTTTTTTCTCCTATGAACTTTATACTTTTTGGCTTTATATTTAGGTCTTTGATCCATTTTGTATTAGTTTTTGTATATTGTGTGGGGTATGAGTCCTGTTTCATTTTCTTGTAGATGAACATCCAGTTTTGCCAGCATCATTTGTTAAAAAGACTGTCTTTTCCCCATTTGATGGACTTTGGGCCCTTGTCAAAGATCAGGTGATCGTAGGTGGATGGATTTACATCTGGGTTCTTGATTCTGTTCCATTGGTCAGTGTATCTGTTGTACCAGTACCAGGCTGTTTTGACTACTGTAGCAGTATAGTAGGTTCTGAGGTCAGGTAGTGTGAGTCCTCCTACTTTATTCGTCTTCTTCGATAGTGCTTTAATTATCCTGGTCTTCTTCCCTTTCCAGAAATGTTAATGATTAGTGTTTCCATCTCTTTAAAGAATGTTGTTGGTATTTGGATCGGGATTGTATTGTATTTGTAAATCACTTTGGATAGAATTGTCATTTTCATAGTTGTTGAGTCTGCCTATCCATGAGTATGGTACGTTTTTCCATTTATGTAGATCTCTTTTGGTTTCTTGCAGTAGTGTTTTGTAGTTTTCTTTGTATAGGTCTTGTACATCCCTGGTTAGATGTATTCCTAAGTTTTTTTTTTTTTTTTAATGGGCTATTTAAATGGTATTGTTCTCCTGATTTCCTTTTCATCATTCTCTTCATTGGTGTATAGGAATCCAACTGATTTTTGTATGTTTATCCCTGCCTTGGAAGAAGTACAGCCAGAATGTTCCTTAGAAAGAAGGATGGCAAGACTACATCTTACATATTTCGGACATGTTGTCAGGAGGGATCAGTCCCTAGAGAAGGACATCATGCTTGGTAAACTACAGGGTCAGCGAAAAAGAGGAAGACCCTCAACGTGATGGATTGACACAATGGCTGCAACAATGGGCTCAAGCATAACAGCGATTGTGAGCATGGCACAGGACCAGGCAGTGTCTCGTTCTGTGGTGCATAGGGTCGCTATGAATCAGAACCGACCTGACAGCACCTAACAACAAAAACATCTTGTATCCTGCTACTCTGCTGAAACTTTCTATAAGATCCACTAGTTTTCCCATGGAGTCTTTTGGGTTTTCTATGTATAGTATTATATCATCCACAAATAGGAACAGTTTAACTTCTTCATTACCAATTTGGATGCCCTTTATTTCTTTTTCTTGCCTTATTGCTCTAGCTAGGACTTCAGCACAATGTTAAATAGAAATGACGATAAAGGGCATCCTTGTCTTGTTCCTGTTCTCAAGGGAAATGTTTTCAGCCTCTCTCC